AGGCACACAGATCCACCAAAAAATCCAAAAACTGGGCTTACCTGAGAGCTTCGATCAGCCTCTTAAATCACCATGCAGTCGGCCGATCTAGGGCTGCATGAGGAAACAACTCAAGGAACCTTCGGCCTGCTCTGATACCAAGTAGAAATCACTGATTGTAGATTTAGTTGAATTTATTGTGAAAGGAAAAGGGGAGGAAGATAAAGATTTCAGTAGTAGAGAAGAAAAGAGAGGAGAAAAGAGTAGAAAGCCAACCAGGATTCTTGAATTAACCCTAGCCGCCAACCCCTCATTATATTTATACTTAACTCAAAGGATGAGATATTACAAGGATGCCCTTAGTAGGGCGGCTACTAATGTAGCTGAACAGTCACAACTTAAAAACATAAACTAATGGGCCTAAAGCCCAACAACTTCCTAACTAAATAGCTTAAAATAAGAATAAAAAACAGATAGGCCCAACTCAACAGAGAATTTGGGAATAAAATTTAAATTTTCTTTTTTCTTTTTTCTTTTTTCTTTTTTTTTTTTTTGAGAATTTGGGAAATATAAATTGGTTTCTGTATCTGTCATAACCTTGTTGGCTTGGCCAAATTCCATTGGACATCTTATTGGGATAGAAAAAACGAATTTATTAATAAGAGCAATGAGAAAAGGCAAGATTATAGTCACCCAGAGGATGGGGCAAGATCAAGCCCAGCAAAATGCAGGACCAACCAAACAGATGCAACCATACAACTGTAAAAAAGAGTCATGTGACGTTGTCCCAGGTGGGAGAATATCCTGTACAACGCAATCCTCTCCCAGCCAAGTTGTTTTCCTTATAGGCCATTACCGGATGTCGGTCCTGGCCATCCAGGGTCTTTGGATGACGGGACTGGATACAGACCTATCATTTGACAGCCTGAGATTTTACCAGTGCACCAAGCAATGACCCCTAAATAGATTATATAGAATTCCATCTGATGTTTAATTATTCATATTGAAGGTGCATGTATCATGAAATGATAACTGGTTCTGTAAATTATATGATTTATCAAGTTAAAAACATGGGTACTGTACCTCCATCTCTTAGATTGCCTGAATTTCAATGTGATTATCAAGTTAAAAACATGGTCGAATTGTATGGATTATCAGCTAGACACAAAATCACTTGGGCTGTGTTTGGTTTGAAGGAAAAGGTAGGGAAAGGAAGGGAAATGTAGGGAAACCTTTACAAACCTTGTATAGGTTTCCCTATGTTTCCCTACCTTTCCGTTCAAACCAAACATAGCCTTAAGGTTTACTCCTGAACCATCAATTCCTTTTAAAGTCATAGGAAATGCAAGGAAGAGAAATAGACATTGTTATTGGTTTTTCTAGCCTTTAGATGCATGAGGTGTAAGCTTTATAGTGTGACTGTGTGAGGTCTAAGCTCCCAAGTTACTAACTTTCAAGAAAAAACATCGAAGTAATATAACAGAAAGTATAAAAGTATGCATAAGAGGAGTTTCTTGTGTAGGAAAGGCATAAAAATAAATAAATGGTACATTAATCGTTAATGTTAGGAGCTTTAGATAAAGCCTCTGCATTCATAGATACCATTTTATAACTATTTAGAATCTTGTTAGTTAAATAATACCTACAAATCGCATTGCATATGTTAAAGCATGTAACACATGCATACATGCATATACATGTTGATATACAAATATATGGTATAGGTATCTGAAGGTGTGACAGATAAAAGAAGGGCATTTCTAGATCTGAGGAACGTATTTATTATACTTTCGAAGGTGTACCTTGAGGTTAAGCCTCATGAACCTTCTGAAAAATAGTGTCCAACCAAGTACATAGGGTTTCACTGGATTGGTCTGTTTCTGTAGTCTTTTTTGCAACAAAACAAATGGCATGGAACAATTGTTATTGTTATTATTCTTCCTAATTGTCAACTGCCTTGTAAAATATGAATTGGGTACTTTTTCCATGATTATATCTGAACAATTGGGATGCTTCCATTGGCAGGTAAGAGTGAACGCTTTGTTGTGCCTGGGTGAGCTGGTACACATGCTTGATAAACATGCTGTTCTAGATATCTTACAAACAATCCAACGTTGTACAGCTGTTGATCGATCAGCCCCCACACTCATGTGTACCTTGGGGATTGCAAGCTCAATTACCAAGCAGGTAAAGTCTTTTTATCTGCTACATCTATTTGTTAAATGTGAAATACTTTTAGAAATGTAATACCTGCTTCAGTTGAAGGCATAGTATACTCATGGCTTTAGCATTGAGTACAGATACAAGCAAATATTGTTATTGTGGAATGACAGCTCATTATTCCTCTACATCAATGTTTCTGGTTCAGTACAGCATAGAATTCACTGCAGAGCATGTCCTTCCGCTGCTCATGCCACTACTTGTTGCCCAACAACTAAATGTTCAACAATTTGCCAAGTACATGCTCTTTTTGAAAGACGTCCTCAGGTATTATTGTGCTTTCAAAAAAAATCGCTGGCAATTCCGTTTATAACCTATAACCAAGGTGATTGAGTTGGTTGTATGCTTTTCCACTTGCAGGAAAATAGAAGAAAAACGAGGTGTAATTTTGACTGATTCTGGCACCCCAGAAGTAAGAGTGACACCCATAGCCAATGGATTTCAGTCTGGAGCATTGATGAAACCAAGCGGGACTTTCTCTTCAAAAAAGAGAAGTTCAGCATGGGATGGAGATTGGGATCTCATAACTAAGGAACCTACAAGTCCTGTGCAGTCTTCTACAGCTAGTGTATCAACCACACCAATGGCACCAGACTCACATCTAAGCACTGTTACTATCACTCAAGTGCAGTCTGTGACATCCACCACCTTTTGCCAGCAAAAAGCTCTATCATGCACAGAAGTTGACATAGAGTGGCCTGCTCGGACAGCTTCTGATCTTGCACCTCAAGTAGGTGACAATGAGAAAGAGAATCAGAGCTCAGGTGCATCAACCTCTAGTTTTGATGATATAGATCCTTTTGCTGATTGGCCTCCACGACCCAGTAACTCAGTAGGTGATTTGGGGTCTTCCACCAATAATACAATCAGTCTGTCCATGAATAAATATGGTTATTGGTTGAACACAAGTGGCCAGAGTGGCACAAGCACCAACAGCAAACCTATTGGACTGTTAAAACAGGAAAGTAGTTCTTCAAATGCCAATAATCATAGTAGCAGTGGCTTCAACACCCAGAGTTCAATTGGGTTCTCAAGACAGAACCAGGGCAACAATCCAGCAAATATTAACAGTTTGTACACCGAGGGGCTCAACCCCCAAGCCTCTATCGGGTTCTTGAAATCTAATCAAGTGAGTTCAGCAATGGGTCTTGGGAAGAATAATTCTTTGATGGGGTCATACGCTGAAACAAAAGCTGCAGACCTTGGCTCCATCTTTGCCCCTGCCAAGAGTGAACAGACGGCACCCAGACTTGCTCCACCTCCCCAGACTGCTGTTGGAATGGGAAGAGGGAGTGGAAATCAAGGACATCCCAGTAGCATTCAAACATCACGATCTGTCAATATCAAATCATCAACTAATCAGCCCATTCTGGATTTACTGTAATAGGTAGGAGTAGGATCCACCTATATTTTATCACAAACTGGTGGACCAGCCCTTGTAGATCAGCTGTTGGATTAGCCATCAACAGTGTTGATCTGTTTCTCATTTCATACCCACTCAACGTCCGTGGCAATCTGGGGTAGTCAAGTTTGTTTATGATGGTTTGCTTGGTCGAGGTGGCCTGTAGTAGCCTATTGTCATCCGACGTGGGAGTTTTCCCTTCCTTATTGTTCGTTATTCGTTTTTTTTTTTCTTTTCTTATTTTCCTTTTTCTTTTAATTTAATGATCTTGAGTTTATTTTTCTAAGGTTAGTGTATTCTTTGGAACAGATTCCGCTTTTTGATGGAATCTGGACACAATAAATAAATTAACTTAAAGGGCTGAATCTTCTGCTCTGCATATTCTTTAGATTTTATTTGAATAATCTAGCATATGAAACTAGTTATGCTGAACATAATAATCTACATTGAATTTTAAATCAAATGCAGAAAAGATTACAGAAACTACGTGTATCACCAATTATCTGCTGTTCTTGCATTCTCTCAACCACCTATTACATGACTTGAAGATGGGTGATGAGACACCAGAATTGTTTACGGTGTTCATCAGTAAGGGATTCTGCCAAGTACCAATCATGTTGCACAAAGCAGGGTTTTAATTTTTTATGAATGCCTCAAACAAAGCTTGTGATTCTCATCTAGCCAAGTCAACGATTTCGACTTTGAATGAACAAGGCTATTAGGCTACCGACTAGATTTGATGACTTTTGGTTGTTGTTTACGTGCTTTTATTTTTTATTTTTTATCTTTCTTTTTTGGCCCCTTTCTTTTCAGTATTTCTAAACAAAACCAAGTTGCAATCAGTTGATAGAGAATCATCACAATATATTTATTAGTATTTAGGTATAAAATACTTTTTGTACTTCTCATACTATCAAATACAATTAAATGGTTGTAGAATGATGATCGGAAGTAACCCTCTCTGATTTGCCTTAAAAACCTTCTTTGTTACTGTTTCAAATTTCAACACCTCGGCTTGTGGACGTCACTCATTCGTTCAAGAAAGTAGGGTTTCTTTTATCTTTTTCTCTTAATTAGTCTTTCTTCATTATTTATCCAATGAAGGATCAAACATGTGACTTCGTGGCTCATGCTACGAGGAGCCTCTTCGGTGATAACTTTTTAGTCTTGAGTAAATATCAAGGGTTTCTATCCTTTCTTTCATGTGGGCCCGAGTTAGGGAACCTCTATCTAGCCTGGTATTCGAAAATCCGAATTCAAATCCGAGTTTTGGTTTTTAATCGAATCGAATTCGGATAATTCGAATCGAATATTTGGTTAAATTCGGATACTATTTTTTAATCAAATAAATTATCGAATCAAATTCGGATATGCATTAATCCGATTCGGCCAACCACCAGCCATTCGTTGGAGTTCGAACGCCATCGTCGCTCATCTTGTGGCTCGTCTTTCCTCTTAGGCTCTTATCTCTATCTCTCTTTTCTCAGTCCTTGACTCGCCACCCAAACAACCACCATCACCGATGGCTGTTAGACAGTTATGCCCTTATCTCCAATCAGATAACATTTATTGTAAATGAATAAAGTACATAATTGATTCATGTCATTATGGTGTATTTCTGTGTAATATCCTTAAATTGAACACTTATGAGATTCGTGTTAATTTAAAATCTTCATAACCGTTGGATAGATCTGCGGAGATTTATCCTAACAAGGCTGACACTGATGTGCCGCCAAGTTGGTTGGGGTGGCTTGTCTCAGCTGCCAGGGTGAGACCTGAGGTACATGTAGTGTGGGTTTTTCTTGAAACCCTGAACTTGACCAAAATTTTAGTATTGTCCTGGACCTTGGAGATAGATGGGCAAAACTGGAAAGTTACACCTGACGCCTATACTCAATTATGGTACTACACTAGGTGTCGGATCAGGATGTCTTTGATATGCAAATTAGTGAGATCCTTAGAGGGGGTAAAAACTTGGGTATGTTGGGACAGTCTGAGAATTCATCTGAGTGGGTGATCATAGTGACAGGATCAGCCCCTTTGTCAGACAAAGTGAATGATTGGGTAATGCACTCTCTCTTATGGAAACCTAAACTACCGGTAGTTGATTTCAAACGTTGAGATTTATTTTTTGCAATATATATATATATATATATATATATATATA